TCAAGTTGGAGATGGGGTTGGGTGCTAAGGAAAGCTGCTGTGTACTGCAAGAGCTGGAACTAGAGAAGCCACAAGCACTGCGGGAGCCTGAAGCTGGAGGAACTGCCCGTGAGGCAGGAACTAAGTGCTGGAGAATCTGTGCATGCTGCGTGGGCCTGCCAGGTAAGCACACTGGAACCAGGAAGAAAAATCTTTTTTCCTCTTGCAATGTCTCTTCTGTGCCCTCTACTGATAAAGCTTGATGTTGTGCCAGCTGTCAAAGGAGAAATATTTAAAAGGCCCATGTCTGTCTGTTTTTCACAGGGCAGGCAAAATGGGTGAATTTGGAGGTGAGAGGCCATAAATTATAAAATAGCACAATATAGTGCCTTTCCATTTATTTGAAGTTTTAAAAGAGAAGAAACTCATTTATGATAGAGAAAACATCAGAACAGTAGTTGCCTCTTGGGGCTGGGAGCGGTGAGAGAAGGAGTTGGCTGGCAAGAGGTAAGTGGGAAGTTTTTCAAGTAGTGGTGATGTTCTACATTTTGAGAGTAATTTAGGTTAACTAGGTGTACGTATTTGTCAAAACACAAGATCTGTGTATTTCTTTGTGTGTTAATTTACCTATAGAGGAAAGACCTAAACAAAAGTAAACATATACTTGTTGAAGTATTATGGGGGGAAGTATATCAATTCCTGCAATTTACATTGAAATGCCTCAACAAAAAACAAATTGATGAATGACTAGATAGACATGTGATAACAAGAATAGTCAAAAGTTAATGGTAGTATCTAGGAAACATCTAAATCAAGGGGATGTTGGTGCTCACTATAAAATCATTTCAATTTCTCTGCATGTGGAAAACATTTCACAATTCGATGTTAGAAATAAAATATTATCTTAATTGTTCAGGGAGAATGAATTTTAGGAGAACAAGAGTGGAAATGGGGAGACTGTTGAGGAGGCAACTGTGGTATTACAGTGAGAGATGATGGTAGTCTGGATTGGAGTGCTGGCAGTGGACATGGAGAGAAGTAGAATCAATACAGATTTAAGGGGTAGAAATGAGATGTAATAGTAATGTATTGCAGAGACGAGGTAAGGAAGAGGAAAGAATCAATAATGACAGCCAGAATTTGATTTTGTGCTGTTGGGTATATGGTAGTGGTTCTTCTGTGGTAGGGAAGACTGAAAAAGAGGTTTGGAATATGTGTGGGATGGAATCAAGAATTCTGTTTCAGACCTGTGTATCAGATTTGAGATCTTTAGGAAACACCTCAATGAAACTATCAGGTGGGCAGATACATCTTTAAAGTGCAGAAGAGCAATCTGGGCTAGAGAAATATTAGTGAGAGTCATTAAGAAATTACCAGCTATAGTATTTAAAGCCAAGAAAATGGATATGTTCACCTAGGAAGTAAGTGTTAAGAAGAGTAGAGGGACCAGCTTTGGGTCTTGAGGAATACCAAGAGGCCAGACAGGACAAGATAAAACAGCAAAGGAGATTTAGTAGGTTAATGGGAAACTGGCAGAGAGAGTCAGACAAGCCAAGAGAAGAAAATGTTTAATAGGGAAGGAATAAATGAACTGACTGCACCCTAATTATTGGGTAAATTGATGATGAATATATCCATTGGAATATGAAGCACACGAATGTCAACAAAACATTTCTGAGGTGTGTTTGGCAAAATGTATTAAAAATGAAGTTTAAAAAAACAAACAAATTGGGAGAAAAACATTATTCATACATACACACGCACACAGAAAGAATACTATCTGTAACATATGAAGCACTATAATTCAATAAGAAAAGATAATCTAATGGAAAAAATGGGCAAAGGATATAAATTCTTAGCAGAAAAAAAATGTGATGCTCAACCTCACTTATAATTATAGAAATGTCAATAAACAAAAATGAGATACCATATTTTTCTCTTCAGGTTGTAATATATTTAATATTTCATAATATCCAGAGTATGCAAGGATAATGTCATACTCTGTTGGCATATAAAGATGTTTTAAAAAATAATTCAGTAGTGTCTATCAAGATAAAATTGCTTATAATTTTCCATTAATTTTACTTCTAAGAATATATCATGCAGAAATAGGTGTTCAAGAGTATATTTTATTCATCGATTCTAAGACACCACTGATTGAAAGATGAATCCTAATTTCAGAGATATTAAAATATGAAAATAAGTATAGCCTAGAAATTATGAAATATAGTATTATAAAGATGTTCATTGCATCGTTGCTTAAGTTAAAATTTATTGCTAATATTGAATTTTAAGCTGCCATTAAAAGACCAAAGATCTAATGTACTGATGTGGAAACATGGCCGCTATTGTTAAGTGAAAAATGAATTTGCAAAAGAATATTTTTATATGATTCTACTTCTATAGGAAAAATATATTTATAGCCTTATTTAAAAAATGCTAGTAAGATAAACACCAAATAGAGGCAATCTCTTGAGAATAAGATTGGCCTGGAGGTACAGGGTGTTTTCTTTTTGCTTTATACATACATGTATTTTTCTATTTTTTTTTTTTTTACAAAGATCACACTATTTTCACAAAATGAAAAATCTCTTTATAGTTTAGCCTGAACAATTTGATTTGGATAAAATTATCAATTTGGGAATGAGAGAGTAGAAGGATAATGTCTATCTTAGTATTTGGGGATTAAATTGACTATTTCATGGTCAGTGACAAGACTTGTAAAACTTTGGGTTTTGTTTCCAAATCTAGATCTGAATGAATTCAAATAGAGTTATGATCTAAAAGCTATAGAATTATAAAAGTGGGAACTCAATGATATGAAATGCTGTGGTGATTAGGTAGAGAAGCAGGAATATTGTTTTAAGGCAGAAATGTAGAATTTTGAAAATGCATGGACATTTTGTCTAACATTCAACATTATGTAATTGTTATCCTGAAACTCAGGAAATAGAATCCTTGAGATATAGGAAATATGACTCTTTGCAGGGATTTGGCTGCCAGACTTCTTATGTCCTTGGTGCCTAGGGGAGTACCCAACAAAAGACAGCTGCTGTCATGCATTTGGCAGCTACAGCTGACACTGAGAGGGGTGGATCAACAGATTGGCACAGGCCAAGGCAGCTGCCTCAGTATGAACATTAGGAGCTGGGATGAAGAATTAGAAAAGGAATGTTTAAGACACATGGATAGTAATAACACTAATAATTTTAAAAAAGGAGCTTTGCCATAACAAATCTCAACTATAAATAACTATGTACCACCTTAATGTATGCTGAGTACTAACATTTTCATTTGTAGTGATGACTAAACTATCATAAAGCAAAAGATGGTCTTCTATACAGTTATCGAAGCTCTAAAATTCCTTATTCTATATAGGTCAAATTTCCTTTACAAGCTGAGTCTTTCTATCCCACCACCTTGGGAATTTAGGCATTGTAGAAGTGAGGAATAAAAGGCCTTGCCAATTCTAGTCTTTGAAGACACTATTTCTAAGTCCAAAGATTAAATATAGAAAACCATGTAAGCACTAAGAGACAAAGGTACTACAAGAGGATTTTAAAAGTATAGTAACAAACCAATGGTAAAAAGATGTTTTTAGGCAATTAAGGAAATATGAATATGAAAGTTATTAGATGATACTGAAGAATTTTGATATTGTTAATTTTGTTAGATGTGATAATGATCTTGTGTTTGTTAGAAAACATTAAATGTTAGACATTAGTGATGCATGCTCAAGTAGTTAGGGTGAAATGTCATGACACTGTGATTTACTTTAAAATGCTTAAGCAAAAGATACAGATGAAGCTGATATGGCAAAACATGAATGGTAAATTAAGGTGACGAGTATATGGTGGTTCATTATAACCCACTCTTATTCTTACATGTAAACTTTTTATTATGAAAAGTTTAACAAAGTACAAGTAAAATAAAATTCAAAAGAGCAAAAACAAAAACAAAAACAAAAACAAAAACCCCACCACACTGCAGATAATTTATTAGATTAATTGATGCTCATGATGCAGTGATAGAAACAATTCCAGCCAAGGACACTATTCACTGCAGAGAGCATAGTTTGGATTTGGAGACCTGTATCCTAATTGAGGTTCTGCCTACACTAATTGCTTCGCCACAGGGAGACTTAGTTTATTTATTAGAAAACTAAAAGATTAAGTTAGTAGTTTTCTCTTGTCAGTTCTGAGATGCTGTACAACATAGACCTTAAACTCAAACGCCTATCGGTGCCAAGCGAATAATGCAAATTGTGCTGGTCAGTCTAAAGGGGGCGCCTCATCTACCGAATAATGCCTTTGGATAATGTGGACTGTTTCCTAGCCTTTTTTGTTATTAGGAAGAAATAGATTTTTATGTAAAATTAAAGATTTGTAAATAAACGTTAAATGAAAACGCAAAGAAAAACAAAGGTGTTTAAGTGGTGCGGGAGGGACCATCAAACTGCGCTGCAAGTTTGCCACCTCTGCGCAGTCCACGTCCGCAATCAGCTCGGACTCTGCAATGGGGCGGATGAGCATTGTGAGGGAGACCAGAAAGTTAAAACAGTCCAAAATCAAAACATCAGCAAAGATTCTAGGGAGTGAATTCTGCTCCAAAATGCAAGTCTATTTCAGCCTACGAGATTTTACCTACGGATGAAACTCAGCAAACATCACTTGCAAAGAAAGACGGGGTTATTCTTCTCATTAGCTCTCATCTCCCGCCAGCTACTCAGCAGTTGCGTAGCGCAATCCCATTCCCGTACACTGTAGTTCCCCGGCGACTGCAGACGCCGATGATTTTACACTTTCTGGGAGAGCCGGGGGAGACGATCCGGAGCCCCTCTTAGAAGGAATTTTATGCTGGAGCCTGGCAACCCCAGCGAACCTCTGGAAGAGTAACTTGCCTACTCTTGCGCCGCTCAAGAGGAAAAAGTTTGCTCTGGATCCAGGGAGTTCTCAACCGGAAGTTTCACCTCCTCGCCTGAACGCTTCCTGTTTGGTAACTAAGGACTCGGGACGGTTGCTAGGGCTCCGGAAGCGAGTACCCTGAGCTTGCGGGTACCGCGGATTGCCTTGCGTACTGCTCACCTGCCATACGAAAAGGCAGCTTTTTCCTCTAAACCCTATCTAAAGTCCCGTTCGCCGTCATGAGTAGCGAATTTCTGGCGGAGCTGCATTGGGAGGATGGGTTCGCCATTCCGGTGGCAAACGAGGAGAACAAGATACTGGAAGATCAGGTGAGGACCAGGTGAAGAAGGCGAGGAAAGAGAGCGTCTTTTTCTCGTTAGCAGAAGTACCGCATCCTTTTATTTCTCCCCTTTCCTTATTCCATCTCTCGTCTGTCTTACGCTCCTCCGCACCATTTCCTGCTTCCCTAATGTGCCCACCCTAATAAATTAAATATATATAATATATATATAATAATTGATATTCATGACTATAAAGCCTGAATCTTTACTCCCTCCTTCTCTCCCATTCCATGTACTCATTTCCCGACTCTTGGGCATGGGAGGAAGGGCTGGTTCCCGCGCCCACTTTTTTCCTTTCTCGGAATTAAGCGCGTTTTGCAAAGGGACTTCTGAGGTTTGGGTGGCAAGTTATTTGCAGATGTTTATCAACAAAGCACGTTCTGGGTGACATTTCTGTTTGAGTTCTGCCTATGATGTTTAAAGTGTAAAGTGACTCGGAGACATGTTTTGAAGAGGAACGTTCTAGTAAAAATGTGAAACGTGGAGTTTACAGCTTTTCAAAGCAGGGATTAAGTTATCACAGAATGTTATAGAATATTTTACGTTGTAAGGAATATTTTACACTAGCTTGCAACTAATGCATAGTAGTTGTTTAAAAGAAATTGCAACCAGCTCAGGAAACTTTAAAAAACCTCTAGCAATCGGTCTAAAATTAAAGTTCCATCACATGACAATGTGTTGTGTGGAAGAGGACCCAAGAAGAAATGATGTTTACATTACTTTATAGAATGGAAGAGAAGGTTTTATCTCCCCTGAAAGACGAAAATCCTTCACTCTTTTTTTGAAATATATATATTTTTTCAAAATACTCTGACCTATTTACTCATGCCTAATTTAGATGACCGCAGTTTTTGTTTTTGTTTTCAATGAAGAGCAACATTAAGGTATATAAGAAATCTAGCATTAAGTACTGAAGAATAACATTAAGAAGCATCTATCCCTGGATTCAAATTCTATTTACCAGCATTAAACCTGCTTCTTCTTCTGTAAACTGGAGATAAGTAAAACAATTATCTCACAAGGTTGTTATACAATTCTAAGGACATTAATGTAGGTTAAAGTTCCATTCAAATGTTAGTTTTTGTTATCAGTGCCATAATAGTTCTCTCACACGATGTTATATACATATTACTTATATTAACTGTTTTAAAAATATTACAGAGCAATTAGTAATCCCTTCACCTGAATAAGTTCTGACATTAAAAAAGCAACTCTTGTAAGTTTAAGATATTCAAACAGAAGGGTATAAAGTAAAAAATATAAGATATTCTCTCCCCAAAGTACCCACTGTTGACCATAGAAGTTACTGTCATGGCATAAACAAATATTCCAGACATCAAAGTCTATAGACACATAGATAGAAAAGACAAACAGGAGTATTATAAAAATGGAATCCTACTGTATGTGCTGTTTTTAACATAAAAACTGAAATTTAATTTTACTTGTATTTAAGAGAAGAAAAATAAAGGAATTGTTGAATTTCAGGTTAGTATTACTTGGTTACAAGAGGTAGTGATTGCTAAAAACTTAATATTTAGAAAAACAACATAAAAATGTTTTAATTATTATTTTTTAGAAAATTCTTTGTTTCAGTTGTAGTCAGATGCCATTTCATCTTTTAAATGAAGAAATTAGCTCTCTTAAACTTCTTTCCACATTTTTTATCCATTAAAAATAGTGGTTTTATTATTTTTCTATTATCAAGGTTTATTTTATTTTCATTCTGTTCAGTGCCCTTAATTTACTACAAGTGCTTAATCTTAGTTTTATACTTAAAATGATTTAATAGTTCTTAATATAGCCCTTTTTACTAAGTTTATCTTTTTTTTTTGAATTTTTCATTTTGATTCATCTTTTGACTGGTTGGGTTCTACCCTCAAAAGAAGGACCCATAATACTGTACTTTTAATTCTTTGCATCCTCAGTTGCCACTCTGATTCCTTTCATTGCCTGCTTTAAGTTTATATTGCTTAAATTATAGTATCAGATCTTCAAGATGCTTTCTCTCTCCAACCCTTCCTTTTAGAGTCCTGTGTTTTCTAATATGGACAATTTTCCCACAGGCCTGTTTTGCAAATGTTAACTTAAGAATTCCCTTTTTCCTTTACTGGGTTGTCACTCTGGATCACATATCTTCTTTCTTGGATTATTCCTTTTTTTTTTTTTTTTTTGATGGAATACTTTCTTGTGCCTCCCTAAGAAGAGTGTATGGGAGGTAAATGTTCTGAATCTGAAAATGTCTTTATTTGCTCTCACGTTTCATGGTGCTTTGGCTGCATATAAGATTCCAGGTTAAAAATAATTTTTCCAAAGAATTTGAAAAATATTGCCCTGTTATCTTCCAGCAGCGTTTTTGGTGTGTAATCTAATATTAGAATGATTTCCATTTCTTTTTAGATTACCTTTTTAGTCTCAATCATATTTTTAATTTTCAGGTTATTTTCTTTTTACTTCTTTTGTAGCACATGATCTTGTTTTAGGAGTATATCATTTCCAATCTCTCTGTGTATGTGTGTGTGTGTGTGTGTTTGTGCCTGTGTTTAGTTCTTTTGTGTCCTTAATTATCTCTTTCCTCTGGGATCTTTTTGTTTATTTGTTTATCTTGATATCCCTCACATGATGTAAGTTTTCAATAAATATCTGGTGGTCTTTGCATGTACTTTTATATTTAAGAAAGAGGCGATAGAATTCTATGGAGAAGGAATTACCAACTTGTGGAAAGTTAATTATTATGCTTTCATTAAAAAGATGCTTTTGCTTTGGGTTCATTATGCAATGATAAAAGTCGTAATTGATGAAGAAAATAAATCATAAAGTTGTATTCACCAAACAACCCAACATCTAAGTTCATAAAGGGAAAAGCTATTATAAATGCAAATAGACCTTGACAAAAATACAGTTATAGTAAGATACTTCAATATTGACCTCTCAGAATTAGATAATTCTAATAGACAAAAATAAGGACATAAAGGATATAAATAATACAATAAAAATAAAAACATAGCATATATTCCTTAAATAGAGAATATACATGTTAAAAATATGTCCATAAACATTTATAAAGACAGTTCATGTGCTAGACTAAACCAAAAACCTTAATACATTAAAAGTGAATGATGAACCCTAAAGACACTATGCTAAGTGAAATAAAGTGGACACAAAGACAACTAGTATATTGTCTTACTTATATGAGTTACTTATATAGTCATATTCATAGAGACACAAAATAGAATGGTGATTTCCAGGGGCTGGGGGGAAGGGGAATGGGGAGTTAGTGTTTAATGAATGGTACAGAGTTTCATTTTGGGAAGATGAAAACTTTCTGGAGATAGATGAAGGTGATTGTACAACAATGTGAATGCACTAATGCCACTACTTAATGTACTTTGACAAATGGTTAAAATGATATATTTTATGTTATGTATATTTTACCCCAATTTAAAAAAATGAGTGATAGAAATTTTATAGGTCGCATTCTCTGATCATAAGCCAATAGAATGTATAATAATTTAAAAAATGATCCTCCATTTTTACACACTGAATGTTTTTGCCCCCCGCCCCCTTCTTGTGTTGAAGCCCTAAATCTCAATGTGATTGTATTTGCAGGTGGGGCCTTTAGGAGGTAATTAGGTTTAGATGAGGGCATGAGAGTGGGGCCCATGGTGGGAGTAGTATCCTTTTAAGAAGAGGAAGAGAGACCAGAACTCTCTCTCTTAGTGTGGTGTGAGGACACAGAAAGTGACTGTCTACAAGTCAGGAAGAGAGATTTCACCAGAACCAAATTTGCTGGTACCTCAATCTTGGACTTCCCAGCCTCCAGAGAACTGTGAGAAATAAATTTCTGTTTTTTCAGCCAATGAGTCTATGATATTTTATTTTGACAGCCTGAGCTGACTAAGAAATTCATCTTAAATACTTAGGCAAGTTTCTCAGAAACTTATTCCTGGATTGTTCTTGTATCAAAGAGAAATTGAAAGGGAAAGGTCACCTATCAGAAAGCAATAAGAGACTACTTCAAACCCACATCCATGGGAAACAGCACAAATCTTACTTAGAGGGAGCGTATAGCCTTAAATGCCCTCATTTTAAAATCAGTATCTTAGCTTAGGTTGCTATAACAAAATACCATAGATTAAGTGGTTTAAAAACAATTTACTCCTCATAATTCTGAAGGCTAGAAGTTGAGATCAGGGTGTCAGCATGGTTGGGTTCTGGTGAGTGCTCTTCCTGCCTTGTAGACGGCTGCCTTCTTGTTGTGTTCTCACACGACAGTATGCTCTGGTTGCTCTTCTCAGGAGGACCCAAATCCCACCATGAGGGTCCAACCCTCATGTCCTAATTTAAACTTTCCTATCTTTCAAAGGCCCCACCTCCAGATTCCATCACATTGAGGATTAGGGCTTCAACATATGAATTTGGGGGTGACATCAACATTCAGTTCATAACAGTCAGTAAGACAAAAAGTAATAAAACTAAGAACTTTTAATAAATTGGACAAAAAGAACAACAAAGTAAACAAAAGAGGGAATTAAAAACAAATAAATGAAATAAGCAAAAAATATGTATTTAATATTATTAAGTGTAATAAAATATTAGACATTACAAATTGGTAAATTAATATTTCTTTTTTCCTTAGTTCAATATTCAATATTTTCTTCTGCACTTCAGTGAACTATGTTGTGCACCTCCTAGGTTATAGCCCCACATTTGGGAACCATAGCTAAAAACTAAGGAAGCATATTTTTGTTCTGTTGAGCTTTTATATTGCTGTGAGCGATGACTTATTCTAATAGTCCTGATTATCTATCTTGTAATTTCCTAAAGGTTTTTCTTTGGTTTATTTCTTTGTTTTACATTTACATTGTTTGTTTTCTACTTAGGGTTCTAATTCAAAGGCATAAAATACATTAAAAAACAAGTTCTAGAGCACATGAGTGTTAGTTCTGCTTTGTTAAACTTAGCCTAAATCTATTAGTTTTGAATAGGAGTTCAGGGAGAAGCTATTAAGCCTGATGTCCAGCTACTTTTCAAATTTATGGTTTATGATCTGTTTTTTTCTTAAGCCTTGTTACTATGCTCTTGTTGGATTTAGAGATCTTGTAATTTAATTATATAATAGAATCTCATTTTTTTCCCTTTAAAATGCATAGCCGTGAACCCTGCTAATGCTGCAAGTGTGAGAGCTTTCTATTCCGTTTTAATATGGTGCTGATTTTCCCACATGGTCTCTGAATCGCAACACTATTTTATACTATTTCAAAGGGCAGCAGATTTTAAAAGTTCAAATCGATATTTAAAGAAGCAAAATAAATGAAGATGTAAAATCTCTTGATTTTACATCCCTTAATATGGTAAAAACTTAGTAGGACTTTGACTAATTATAGCATTTATTATTTACAGTTGTCAAAGCTGCAGGATGAAAGGTCAAGCTTGCAAGATCAGCTACGTGACTATGAAGATCGAATTAATGCTATGACTTCTCACTTCAAGAATGTTAAGCAAGAACTCTCATTTACACAGGTATATAATGTTGGCATTCATGTTGATTATACCATGTGTAGTCATGGAACATTTTATGTTGCATTTACACATTTACATCTGTGATTTTATTTCACAGATATAATAGGAAATACTCATTGTTTTTTAATACCAATTTATAATTAATATAGATAAGTAACTTCCATGATTTAACAAGTGTTATTAGAAAGTTAAAAATTTAATGAACTTCTAAAAATAATACTCAAGGTTTTTGAATCCTGATGTGATTGAATAATTAATAAACTGTTTGGAACAACATCTTTTACTCAAGTTAATAGGAGTAAAAGGATAATAGAGACAAAAGACAATAAACTTCCTACAACACTAACAACTTTAATAGTATAAAAATAATACTGATGGGATGACTTTAAAGCACTATAAGAACAGTAGTCAACAAATACTATTTTATTAAGTACAGCATAACACAAAAGCATGATTGTATATAATCTAAGAAATATTTATAAACATCAGTGTTATATAATTATTTAAAAATTATGTCTGTTAATTAGAATATGTGATCAATTCATATAACCATCCCATTTCCCAAGTATTTTTTAGTCAATTTTCTTTCTTATATTTAGGTAAGTAATGAGTCTGTCATATTATTTTAAGTCTCACTGTATAAACTTTGGTTTTCTGCAATTTCCCTATACCAACATAGTATTTGAAAACTGCTACCAAAAATATTTTCTCTTACCACATTCCATGAACTGACTTCCTTACAACTAGTAAGCAACACTGACTATACTGAATCACAGTCTAATGGTGTGTAAGTTTAGAAGTGAAATTAATATGTAATCTAAGCATTTTTAGAGAACTTTGTTAATTTTTTGTCTAATGGGTTATTATAAATATTTTTTAGTATTAAAATTTAAAAAGTCTTTCTATCTTGCATATTATTCTATAGGCTCTTTGCAAAGCTAGGGAGCATGAGATTGAAAGTGAAGAACATTTTAAGATCATTGCTGAAAGAGAACTGGGACGAGTGAAGAATGAAATCCAACGACTAGAAAATGAGATGGCTTCAATACAAGAAAAGAAAAATGATAAGGAAGTATGTGTTGAAAAGTTATTTAAAATTTTCTGTTATTGTTCCTTTTACCTCACCAAACAAACATTGATTTTTTTTCTGATGAGAAAAGCATTCATTAGTTTCCTGACATTTACTCATTGATTTTTGGACAATGAGAGGCACACTGAGCTGTGATTTGAATGAAACAATAATAAAATGTTACATTTATTTTCCCAATATTCATTTACCAAATACTCATTGAGCCTTACTATGAGCAAAGTATCATGCTGGTTGCTTGTTATATGATACTGGGTGTATTTATTCATAAGTGCTACACTTTTAAAAGCCACATTAAAAATTACTTTTAATTTTGAATTTCATTTTTTATTCAAAAATTTTACCCTACATATTAATTTATCAGCTTGTGACTAATATTAAATGACTGTACACATTTTTCTCTTCTCCTTAGTTTTTAGTTACCTGATTTGGGAGCTCTTTCCAAATTTGATTCTTCTCTTTACATATGCGTATATATGTGGAAATGCACACATATATATGTATACGTACACACATACATATTTTTAATATCAATTTGTATTCCTTTTTATATTCACCTATGAATCTAGATTTGTTAAATGATACATTTACAGACATATTTTTATCTCTTTAACTGCTATATTTATTTCAATTAGAAGTGCTTCCATAATTTCCGTATAAGAAACCTCTTAGAGGTAGCAATCTGGCAATGGGGCTGAAGGGGACTTGTCTTGGGCTTGAGTTAGCATATCAAGCACATTATTTTTACTAAGATTGCAGATCCACTTGGATGGCTTTGGTGGAGTGACTAATGAGATTGCTCTAGGGGTACCACCCTAAAACCTTTTTAAACAACCTTTGGCTCAACTACTGTTCTCAACTTTGTATAATCATTTCCCCTCTATTTTACAACTAAAGACTTAAAATACAAGTATGATAGTCATATAATTAAATATGGTATGGTATACACAATCTGGAGGTCAGGAACAGGGACAGGAGTTCTTTCCTTTTTAATATGTTCTGTAGCATGTAATGTTATTATTATTATTTTTTATCTTGTATAGTAAATAATGTTTTGTAATCTCCCCCATCCCCTCTCTTTGGATATTAGAACAACATATTTAAATTTACTCAAAAATTAGATGGTTTGAAATGTCAAATGAACTGGGACCAGCAAGCATTGGAGGCCTGGTTAGAAGAATCAGCTCGTAAAGACAGTGATGCCCTCACTCTTCAGAAGTATGCGCAACAAGATGACAATAAAATCAGGGTGAGAAATTCAAAATTGTCATGGTTTCTCTGAGTCTGTAGTATGTCAACCTTTTATCTAAATCGAACTTAATATTTTAAAGCAGCCGTTCTTAAACATTTTTGGGTCATAGTTTCTACTGAGAATCTAATAAAGCCAACTATCCTTTCTCTAGAAAAATGACTGTATTCAAATACCCACAAATTTTTGCCGAAAGTTTTACAGATCCTCCAAAGCCCTTTTACCATTTAGGGATCTTTGGAGTCCAGGTTAGGTATCCTGATTGAGAAGAGTTCTCAAAAGTATTTCAGAAAAGTTTTTGTACTAAAACTATGTATAAGTATGTTAACTTCTTTTGCCTAAATAATAATTTGCATGTTACATATAGTTTTTGCTGATTTGAGAGTATAGTGTTATTGCTTATTTAATATTATAACTATTAGTGAAATCCGGTAATACCTTAGTGAAACATGCTATTTTCTAATAGACTTAATACCAAATGCATTATTTTAAATAATTAAAATGGGAAATTGTTTAATTTTTTTTCTAGCATACTTGGAAAAGTATTAAAAATCTTTTTAAAAACAATTGACTTTTCATTGCAGCCCTTTAGGGTTAAAAGATAAAGATATATATTATTTTGTAGTTGTTTTAGATATCAAATAATTGTATATCTATAACATAATAATATTTAATGTGAGATATGCTAACAGCTTTAAAGTTAATGAAATGGTAATCGTGAATATTTTTGCATGTAACTATATCGTAGGTACTGACCCTGCAATTAGAAAGACTGACTTTGGAATGTAATCAGAGAAGAAAGGTACTTGACAACGAACTTACAGAGACTCTAAGTGCGCAGGTTGGTTTAGTGAAGACTTTTGTTAATTGTCAAAGTGATGTTTACAAAAGCACCTAAGTTCACAGAATGATTATTTGCTCTCTATTTGACAGTTAGAATTGGATAAAGCAGCACAAGATTTTCGTAAGATTCATAATGAAAGACAAGAGCTCATTAAACAATGGGAGAATACAATAGAACAGATGCAGAAGAGAGATCAAGACATTGATAACTGTGCCTTGGTAAAGTAATTGTTCAGTCCTTGCATTGTTCAGCTGTGTTTATCTCTTTTGTATTTAACTCATTTATTTGAAATGTAAATCACATTGTTATTTGAAAGTCACTTAGGTAGGAGATTCAATAGTTTTGTTAAATGTTTTTCAGAGCTGACTCTTTACATTTAGAAATGTGTTATGAATATTATTAATTTATGGTGTTATGCCAAAGACTGGATCCTGTCATCTCTGAAATGTGGAAGGAACAACAGAAAGTCAACAAATAATGTTATTGCAGTGAAACCAATGCCCTACTTATGCACAGTTATTCTAGAATTTAACAAGTGATCTATCTGGCCACACAGTAATCACAGATGTAGGAAAATTAGCCTCGTAGAGAGCCAGGAGACAGGAGGGAGAGTCAAGAAAAAAACTTAGATCACAATAAAGTTTCAGTTGTGAAGCTGAGGTACCACTAATGGGGTAGAAGCTTGGAAGGGGAGGAATACCACATAATTAAACACAGACCTAGTGTTATCTTTTGCTACTTTCTGAGGTCATTTAGGAGAAATTTTTTGGAAATCATTAAGAGGTGAAATATAGGTGATTAAAAATGGGAAGATTAGGGAAAGTTGGGAAGGAGAAGGAGTTGAGGAGGAAAGAAGGCAGATGAGAAGATGTAGCTTTCATTCTGAATCTACTCCATGAAAGCATTTGGCAAGCAGCTCAGGTCACTGGGAGTTTGGAATTCTGATACCTGGTTTACTTGTTTATACAAATGTGTTATTCCTTTATTTTAAATTTCTGTAAGTGACCAACATTTTATCAACAAAATGGCCTATGCCTCCTTAGAAGGGAAAGGGGCTAACTAATCTTAACTATGAGTTTCTCTTAATTCTTAATGCTGATGTTGTTTTTTTCTTTTTCTTGACTTCTTATTGTTTTCAAACATCAAGTCCTGACTGCTTCCTCTATGTAAATCAAATATATCCAGTCCAAGAATCGCAGATCCAAGATTGGATTCTCATGTAACCTCACAGCTATATTGACTCAGCCTCCTGATTGGTCGGAATACACAACTTGTAGCTTCCTGGTCATGTTCACAGTGGTTCTTATTTACAGATTGACATCTCCTGACTGTCTGTATTATAAGAGAGTAGGGAGGGTGCTAAGAGGTGGCTCCATAGGTAGAGCTATGCTTCTAAGTGTTTAACACCTGGCTTCTGATTTGTAGCATTTCTGTTATCTGTGGTTTAACTACTTCATACCAACAAGACTCCACTGAACACAGAGCTGAGAAGAGATGTGTAAGTCAGCTGTGGTGAGCTAATGAGAGTGGATTCACACCACCAGAAAATTAAATCTGAAATTGGGCCCTTTTGTTCCCCTTCCTCCAGAATAATTCGTGCCTCCTCACTGTCTTCTTGGCAGGAGTCTAACCATATGATCCTGAACTTGGCTTCTTAAAAGAAACTTTTCCATTATTTAGAAAAGAAAAAGTATTTTTCTACTATGCTTTTATTTCAGTGTAAAAATGTTAGACTATTAGTAAAAGCCTCACCTATAGAGAACTTAACTGTGTGTAGATAGCACTGTTAAAACATGTGAACATTGAAGTCAGTATTGTAGCATCTGATTAAGTGGTATAAAAATCAGTTTAAGACAGGAAATTCTAGAATAATCATTTGACATATATAAACCTAAGTTTTGACCTGTGCTTTGGTTGAATGAACACAGTAGTCATATAGAATGCTATAATTATAGAATGCTAATTGTTAGTTATAAGAATACATAGGAATACTAGATTAAAAAATTTACAAAATTTTTAAGTGCAGTGCACTTCAGATATCCATTTAATATGCTAATGTGTACACTATTACAAACAAAATTTCTAAAACTTAACTGATATCAGAACCTATTCTTCCCCCCCAACCCCATTAGTTATTTGGTGGGACCCTAATTTGGAAAACTTGAAAGAAATGTATTTTAGGGTAAATTTTTCTTCTCTCTCCATCCAACGTACTGCCATAACAATCACTTGTAAAAACTGCGTATGATCTTTTTTCCCTAGCTCTAAAATCTGTTCCACATTGCTTAAAAGTTGACCCTTTTTAACAAGACAGTTGAAAACTTGAATTTCTTCACAATTTGGCCCTAACCTCTACCTTTCTAGCCTCATCCCTTTCATTTTCTTCTTTTTTTTCATTAAATTTATTGGGGAGACATTGGTTAATAAAATTATATGTTTCAAATGTAAAATTCAATAATATATCATATGTATATTGCATCATGTGTTCACCACCCAAAGTCAAATCTCCTGTCTACCCCTCCTTAATATATCTCCATTCTAACCCTGCCCTCCCACTTAGCACTTTAACCACAGCGGAGTTTTTAATGCCTCTCTGTTTATCTTTTTAGGCCTTACTCAAACGAAGCCTCCTAGGTAATGCCTTTTAATGATTCCTCTTGGGTAGACTTCATCTTTGTTTCCATGGTACTTTGTCCGCATCTCAGTTACTACTATCTATATTCTATTTATTTTGTATCCTCGTGACCAGCAAAAAGCCCAAGTGAAGGCATTCTTATTGAAGCCAATAACTAAAATGCTATTCTCAAAAGATGAAAAAAAAACTGGTTCTGTGAAATATTTGGAAAAATTCATTGAAATCCAACTTTCTATGTGAAAAATATTTAACACTGTTATATTTTTTTAGAGGTCATTTTTCATTTATAAAAGATTGACCTTTTCCTTATCTCTTTAGCAAGTAGATAAAAGAAAATACAGAGACCTTTAAAAATGTGAGTTTATTGTTTTTGTGTGTAGCATATTAATATTTTGTTTTTATTTATATGAAAATAGTCTCTTAGGAAGTTTCGAAAAATAAATACTGAATATAATAATAGAAAAATAAAAACTAAATTCCTTTTAATTTTAGTTTTGTTCATTATATTAAACATATATTTAATTTTTTTTTTTTTTTTTTTAATCCTAGACAGTAGCAAGGCTAAAGCAGGAAACAAGAGAAAAAGAAAGTTTGGTTAAGGAAAAGATCAAGTTTTTGGAAAGTGAGATTGGAAATAACGCAGAGTATGAGAAAAGAATTTCAGTTGCTGATCGTAAAGTTTTAAAATGTAGAATGGAATATCAGCATCATGAAACTAATAGGAATCAGCTGAAGGATGAGGTATGTCTATTAAAAAGACTAATTTGTGTGTTTATGACAAATTACTATAAAAATAAGCATAAAGCCTTTCCTTTGATTAAGGAACTGCCTTCTAGTTCTTTTTGTTTCATCCCTTCATGTTATGGAACTTTTAGAATTCTCTGACTGAGCCCCTGATTGGTGAAGGTGAGGTGGAGGTGGGGAGTTCCATTCACATCACAGGTGGTGTGAAGGGCTCAGTGCCCAACTTGCCTGTCCTGTATGGTGTTTTGTAAGTGATCTAGGCAAAGGATTCCCAAAGGATCTAGACTGGAAATCATAATTATAACCGGCAAATGGGCAAATGTGATGGTGAATATTGACATTATAGATAACTAAAAGTGTCTTTCTAGTACTATGTGTGTATGGTAGTTTTAGCTCTTAAATTCTAGGTGGAGTGATTTGTTTAAATTAAGTTTCTCGCCTTGTTAAGAGATAAGTTTCATCTAGTAGTGGGACAATGTAGTGATAAAATACCTTGAAACAGACTAAGAACAAAACTTCTGCTTTTTTCTTTTCTTCTTTTGCTGGAATACACGCCAACTAGATTATTCCATAGGGAGAGGTACTGATGATCCCTTTGGTTAGCAATAAAGGGATCCGTAAGAAATTTGTGCCTTGAGACTATATTATCTGAAGTTACCACTGTTTAGTTGGGAAATCGGAATATTGTAGAGCATTTTATTCTTTAAGTTGTTATACTTTTTATTTCTGATAAAGAAGGAAAGATTTTTCTGCCCAAAGAGAATAATTACATATGATCCTAAAAAAGTAAAATAAATGTTACTGCTAATAGCTCATTCTTAAACATTTTAAAGTTTAAACCAGTTGCAGAAAAGAATGCAGAGATTCATTCATTCATTCATTCATTCATAATTTGTATATTGAGATATAATTTACATACCATAATTCACCCTTTTAAATATAATTTACATACATAATTGAATGTACAATTCGATGGTTTTCAGTATATTTGCAGAATTATGCAACCATCACCACTATCTAATTTTAGAATATTTTTGCCTCTTTAAAAATAAACCTCATACCCACTAGCAATCACTCTCCTTTCCTCATTCCCCCAGTCCCTGGAAACTACTAATCTACTTGCTGCCTCTATGGATTAGCCTCTTTTAGACATTTCATATAAATGACATCATATAATGTGAGGCCTTTTATGTCTGGATTCTTTTACTTACATAATGCTTTCAGGTTCATCCATGTGTAGCATGTAGCAGTACTTCATTCTTTTCTCGAACTTTTTCTATTGTGGTAAAATACATATAACATATAATTTACTCTCAACCATTTTTTTTTTAAGGAAAAATTTTTTTATTGGTATTTGCTAAATTTATACTTTTTAAAAATATTGTTTTTTATGGTGACATTGATTAATGAAATCCAATGTTTCAGCTGTACACTTTAACAATAAGGCATATGTATATTTACACTGTATATTCACCTCCCATAGTTAGATTTCTTTCTGTCACCACATATTTGACCTCCTTTACCCCATCTATCTCCCTGCTTCCTCCCCACTACCACTTACCCCTAGTAGAACCACTAGTCTATAGTCCACGTCCAAGAGTCTCTGCTTGTTTGTTCTGTTCATTTGTTGCTTTTAGGTTTATATCCCACATATAAGTGATATCATGTGGTTTTCAACTTTTTCAGTCTTATTTCCCTTAGCATGATTATCTTGAGGTCCATCCATGTTGTCGCAAATGGCGGTATTTAATCTCTTCTTATGGCTGAGTAATAGTCCATTGTTTATATGTACCACAGCTTCTTTAGGCAATCTATCGTAGGACACTTCAGTTGCTTCCAAGTCCTGGCCACTGTGAATAATGCCGCTATGAACATTGAGGTGCCAATATCTTTACAGATGTGGGTTTTCAAGTCTTTGGGGGTAAATACCCAGTAGAGGGATTGCTGGATCATATGGTAGATCAATTCTTAGTT